AAAAAAAAGGGAAAAAAAAAAAAAAAAAAAAAAAAAAAAAAAAAAGTTGCTGCACTCCAGTAAAACTTTATTGATGGACATTGTATTTCTGGAATTTAATATTCACACATGTTACTAAATATTTTCTTCTTTTAATTTTTTTTTTTTTTTTTAATCTTAGCTTGCCAGGACATAGAAAAGCAGGCAGCAGGTTAGATTTGGCCCACTGGCCGTAGTTTGCTGGCCCCTGGTAGGCACTCTCCTGTTTTCTTAAATAGAGGACACCAAACCTGTTCTAAACTTGGGACAGTGGCTTAGCACTTTCTGGACAGCACCCTCAGAGTTTATTGATGTGTATAAAGTCTACTTGCCCTTGAGTGATCCCAGAGGCATTTTGGACACTCTGATTCTGATCCTTATGTCTTTAGGTTCCATTCTTGCTGTCAGCTGATACAGAGCTGCTGCTATCAGTGTGCTGGTCCCTCTCCCTGTCCCAATGAGCTACCTCTAATCTTCCATGAGCTTGGAAGCCAGGAAGCTGCACCTGTTAATAATGTATGCAAAGTAAGAATAGTCTGTGAAAGTGAACTTTCTATGAATAAAAGAAATGAGCTTCAGAAAGGGACTTTGCAATATCTAGTCTCCTTTCAAACAGGTCTTTTTTGTTTTGATTTTTGGTTTTTGGCCATGTTGCACGTAGGTGAAGTTGATGGGTTGGTTAAGATTTATGTAAGTGAAATGTTAACAAACTAGTGAACTACCATATATATTATAAAAGCAAACATGGGAAAATGCTAATTTGCTGGAATTTTTCTCTGTGCATGATATTTTGCTCTTTTACAAAACAAGAAAGTATTTTTTATTATAGGTAGTTAATTTGGAAACTAAGCTTGCATTTAGGTACTGTTCGCAGATCTATGCACCTTCTGGAACAGATGTCATATGCGCTCACTTCTGACATACAGTGTCGTTTTCTCTTAGAATGGGACATCGGCGCTCCATGCGGCAGTGCTCAGCGGGAATATTAAAACAGTCGCTCTGCTCCTGGAAGCAGGGGCAGACCCAGCCCTAAGAAACAAGGTACTGGCCTTACCTTATGCATCTTTTAACTCCATTAGGCACCTATGGAAAGGGATAAGGCAGTGTCTACCTTAACCAAGGTAACATCTCTCTGACTCCCGTCACTATCTTCATATTTCAGCATAGTAATGGCATGCAGGGTTGTCAGTACATAGGGTGAGCAGCACCTTTGGACCCAGAGAATTATACTAAAAGCCTGTATCATCAGTGGATTTCAGCTAACAATGGTGCAGCCCCAGGGGCAGGGAGGCAGTTGTGGGAGAAGGGTTGTAAGTGTGCTATCATCAATGAAGTGTCCTAAAAATGTCAAAGTCTGGTAGTTTACCACCATTCCCCATAAGTTGGATGCTCATATGTGGAGAATTGCTGGTACTCTATTTGGTGTCTACATGGGGGAAAATGTTATTTTTATATTGTTAACAGGACTTCACACCACTGTTACAAAACCAACCCAAATTTATAGCTCAAAATCTCTAGTTTACATTAGGCCAAATTTGGAGGTGGAAGATGCATAGTAGCCGCAGAAAAAAAATGATTATCATTGTATTTCCTCTTATTCAACATCTGCATAAGCAGTCAAATGTACAGGGGGGGGGTGGGGACAGTAGCCTAGGAAAGGTCTTGAGAAAACACACTAAACTACTAACTTTTTTTCTTTAATCTTCACCTGAGGATATTTTTTCCATTGCTTCTCAGAGAGAGTGGAAGGGAGAGAGAGAGAGAAACATCAATATAAGAGAGACACATCAATTGGTTGCCTCCCGCACAAGCCCTGACCAGGGCCTGGGATCGAGCATGCAACCAAGGTACATGCCCTTGGCTGGAATCCAACCTGGGACCCTTCAGTCCTCAGGCCGATGCTCTAACCACTGAGCAACTGGCTAGGACTAAACTACTAACTTTTGAAGGCGGAAGCGGGAGTGGTGCTTATTAATAGGGGAAGACATGAAAAGCAATTTTTATTTTATACTTATAAAATTTTTTATAAGCATCTACTACTGTGTTCAATTTTATTAATAAGAAAAACAGAAACATAGAGTATGTCATGATACTTTTTTTAAAAAATGTACATCTTTATTGGTTTCAGAGAGAGGAAGGGAGAGGGAAAGAGAGAGAGAGAAACATCGATGATGAGAGAGTCCTCACTGCTCGGCTGCCTCCTGCAGGCCTGCCGCTGGGAATCGAGCCCGCAACCCAGGCATGTGCCCTGACATCATGATATTTTGAAAAGAAACTATTAAGAAGTACAATGAAACAACATGCCAAGGGGCTTTTTCATTCCATTTAAGATGTGGAATTATTTCCTCGTTCCTGCCATTGAACTGTGTGAAGATGTGGTTTCTGCTTGTCTCTTCCTGGGATACTTCGACTTGTTTTCCATTAGCTGGACTGGCTGAGTGATAAAGCAGCTGAAATCACAATGCTGTCTTATCTTTAGACCTTGGACACAGACATCCTAAAGGGAGTGGTCTTTGTGGCTAAGCCACCCAGTACTGAATGAAGGCAAGGGGAACACGTTAGTGCCTTTAGATAGAAACTGAAAAATGCAATTCTGGTGTGTCTCCTGGAATCTCAGCAATAATGGTTATGGGGAATTTCCAGTGACCACAATGCTGGCCTTTGGACCCTCCCTAGAGCTACCTGCATATATGTGTGGGCTGCTCCTGTTGGCGTTTCATACTGCAGGGCCCTTAGCTGAGAGTAGCTGCCAGGGGACCCACTCCCCCAACAGCCACCCCTAGAAGTCAGCCTCTTTAGAGGAAGCCAGGGTATTGGGATTCCAGCAGCCACCCAGGACTCCTGAGGGAGTATTCGTGACCTTTATTCACTCGTTCAGCAAGCAGATGGAGTGCCTGCTAGATACCATGCACCGGGCTGTGTACTGGGGGACAGTGATGAATGAGGTTCACGCAGTCTCTGCCTTTGTGGAGGGCTGAGTTTAATGGGAAATAAACACAATTAAGCCACTGCAGTACTGAATGACAAGGGATGTCAGCGGGGAAGTAGAGAATGCTGTGGGAGACTTCCCAGGGGAAGGACTTCTAAGCTAGTACAGAAGCACTCTTCTTCTGCAGGGCTTCCAGGACTTCTGCTCTGGGGCTTGGAGGCAGATGTCCCGGGAGAGGGTAACCAGTGGTCCTAATAGCCACTTGCCACACTATAGCCATCCCCCTGGGTTCAGGGGTCCTGTGTTCCCAGTACCCCCAACTGAGGACTCAGAACACATCTCCCAGGAGCAGTAGGGAAACAGAGTGGTCTGATGCTAGGCTATTGTGAATATGGACCCGGAGGGGGAGCCGAGGCACTAGGCATCGTAATAGTGCTCGCAACCTTAGCAACCTTAGCAACCTGAGAACTCGGTGGGGACCGACCGAGAGAGAGAGGAACGAGGCCAGGTTTTTAAAACTATCTGGTTGACACGAAGAAAAGTGATGTCATTGGCTGAAAATTGACTACACGGTTTGGAAGCATAAAGCTTATTTTAGTGATAAAGGGTATGGACATTCATGGAGTTAGTCACACAACTTGCTGTCACACACACTGTAACTCGACAGGCTTGTAGACAGAAGTACAGCCTCTTAGCTCTCCTCTTCTTCCCGCCTGTAGAGGCTCCTCTGACTACCCGCCAGCCTGCTCAGCAAGGACCAATAGCCGGTGCACAACAGTTAGGTATTCCTGAGTGGACTCTGAGACTGGGCTCTGCTCACCAGGAGCGTTTTTCTGCAGGCCCAGGCTTTAGACCTGCTCAATGCCTGCTCCTGTAGGAACTAAGCTAATAGTAGAATTTGACCCCATAGAGGGACCTCTGGTTTATAGTAGCACAGCTTAGCAATTTCCTGTCTGATTCAGTCTTGCCTCAGCATCAAGGGTCCTTTGTGATGGGCTGAGCTACAGATACAGGACATGCTGCACAGCAGACTACTTGTGGTAAACTCATAATTCCCCACAAGTCTTTTCTCAATTCCCAACAAGTGAGGTCCTAGCCAGCAGGGGGG